CCATCATGTAAATATGGACCAAAATCTCTGAATGTTTCCAGTACCTTGTTGAATCTATGCCACGAAGAATTGAGGCAGTTCTGAAGGCAAAAGGGGGTCCAACCCGTTACTAGCATGGTGTACCTAATAAAGTGGCCGGTGAGTGTATATTTTCCCTATTAGCAGTGGTGGGCACAGTTCCCCTAAAGCACTAAGGCACTAATCGGGGAACTAATTTCCTGATTAATGCTTTAGGGTTTTTGCTATTTTTGAATTTATTAGTGGATTAGCACTTGCTAAATTTATGGGCTGAATTTAGAAGCACTAACTGAGGTCTTTAAATGTTATTTAACAACATTGTTCACAGTTGAGGCTGAAAGCTGTCACATTTTGTTCATATGTGTGTCACTTATCRACAAGGTCACATGTGTCAAACTCAAGGCCCACGGGCCAAATATGGCCTGATGGTGACTCCCCTTTGGTCCGCCAAGGGCATTAAGTGACAYWACTAAGCACACYGTAAACATTGTTTTATGTTGACTCTGAATAATGTTTCATGCGTCAGCTGGGTTATATTAGTGCTTTAGAATTAGGGGACCTAAATATTTGAGTTAGTGCTTTAGAATTAGGGGACCTAAATWTTTGAGTTAGTGCTTTAGAATTAGGGGACCTAAATATTTGAGTTATTGCTTTAGGGTTAGTATGTTAGGATGAATTAAATATAAAGTGTTGTGTTTGTTTGGGCTGGAGTAGGCCAAATAGTTAAAAATATTTTACTGTATAATTTTCTGAACATTTGCTCCTACAATGATGGACAGTCTCATAATTTGGATCTCTRGTGGGATTTCATTGTTTCTATAGGTAACTTCTCATCGAAGCGGATAGAAGTCACATGTGGGGTACCCCAAGGTTCACTCCTAGGACCCCTCTTATTAAATATCTACATGCTCCTGCTAGCTCAGGTTATAACAGGAAATAAGATTAGGTACCATGACTACGCAGATGATACACAGCTCTACATTACGATGTCACCAGGTGACTCTGAACCTGTCCAATCACTAAACAGATGCTTAGAACAGTGTGGATGTGCCAAACCTTTCTCCAGCTAAACAGYAACAAAACMGAAGTTATTATCTTTGGACCTAAAGAGYAARGATCTATAGTCAACGCACCACTTCAGTTYCTACAGCTAGAAACTAGCAGTCAGGCCTGAAATCTGGGTYMAGTGATGGACTCTGARCTGAACCTTCAGAGCCACACAGAGTTGCTTATGAAACATTATAAATGAAACATTYGTCYACATTTTGATGTTTATCAATGGCACTTGACAAACTGTAATGCTTCAATTGTTAACTCTGTGTTCTATGACTTTGTATTTTTTGTGTTTTTATGATGTAAAGCACTTTGAACTGCCTTGTTACTAAAATGTGCCATACAAAAACAACTTTGATTGATTGGTTGGTTTATCTATAGCCTTCTGATGTCAGACACTCAAACACTAACATCAACAGAATCTGTTCTACCTTTTTTAATTAGCATTTTGTCTCTAAACTTGASACAAGGGAATCCGCACAGGAATCCTGTTTATAGTGATGATTATTGTTCAAACTGAAGGAGACTTCTTGTTTTGATTGCAATTATTCAGACCTGAACTTCGGGGGGGCTAGCACTCAGCTTCTTAAAAATATCACATTAAAAGCCTGCTGTGTTTTAAAGAGCTGTAATTATTCTCACTGATAAGAGGAAATGAAGCAAGAAATTGTCTGATTTGGAGGTAATTTGGTTCACATGTTGACCAGTGACGAGTCTGTAAATGATTTGKTGTAAAAGAAGCTCTAAAAWAAGCACCATAGGCTAGAAATGAAGGCATCATGAGTGAAGGAATATTGTTATCAGGTAGTTGCTGGGGTATCCGACCAGTTGCTAGCAACAGCCCACAATGATGGAGGTAACGTGTGKTAAGCTTTACAGAACCTCACGACATCTGAACCTATCATCTGGACAKAGGTACTCTTCACAACACTCTGACGACAGGTGCACTGCCCCATGTGTCGGCTACCAGCTACTGTTTACACCAGAGATGGCTGCATTAGGAGTGGTGCTGCAATCAGGAGGCATAGATTGGTGATGAGTGGTGGTAGGTCAGCAGTCGAAGGTGGGGGTGTTGGTGCTCTGGGGTTGCTTTCTTAATATGGGCCTGGGGGTCTTTTTCTTTGGGGCAATTAAGACCCTTTACAAACAGTATGAGAGTTTGGTTCATTTTATCTGCAGTAAGTTGGACCTCTTCAGGGTGGGAGTTGAACTCCGATAGGGCTGCGTGTTTTCAAGTTCATAATGTTTATGAAGAGATTAAATAYGTGGACAGTGTCTGGTTTGGTCTTTCAGGACCTGGTCTCAGGATTTGCAGATGATGTGGTTCTGTTGGCTTCATRGTCCTGTGATCTTCAGCTCTCGCTGGAGCCGTTCACAGCCAAGTTTGAGGAGGCTGGGYTGAGGATCAGTACCTCTAAATATGAGCCCATGATCCTTAGTCGGGGAAGGGTGGCTTACCCTCTCCGGGTTGGGAGTGAGGTTCTTCCTCAAGTGGAGGAGMTTRGTTATCTTGGGGATTTGTTCACAAGTGAAGGAAGAAAGAAGTGTGAGAGCAACAGACAGATCATAGCAGCATTGCATAGTACTGCAAGACAAAAATCTCCTTTTACAGACGGGATCTTACCAGTGGTCATGAACATTGGGTACCGACCAAAAGAATGAGACGGCAAAGACAAGTGGTTGAAATAGGCTTTTTCTCTAGTCCAGGGTAGCCGGATGTTCTTAGAGACAGACTGAGTGTTTCAGTTCTCCAACAGAGACACACTGAGTAAAACTGATGCTCCTCCACATCCAGAGGAGKCAGTTGATGTGTTCTGGGCAAGTCCAGTTGGGAGGAGACACAGAGGAAGARCCAGGGCAGAATAATGCTAAAGGCTCAGCCATCCAAATTCACAGAATCTCACTTCCAGTTTTCGAAGTCGACAAAGGACKCAGTMTACACTGARCGGGTAGGCRGGGACCTTCYAAGGATGCAGCCCCTGAATTTGGACACAGCCAAAGTCTTCCAACCAGTCTGGGAACACCTTTTCTACTAACACATCTACAGCAGGATTCGACTTGGCTCTCCACGGTTCCAAGATTTTCCCCCTAGCTAGGATTCATGGAACCAGCGCCTTTTTCAGAACATYTTTTCCTGTGGTTCCAAGTGTATGGTGCTGGCCTGAAAATGCAACATCAGAAGACTGTCAGTCATGATTGTTTAGYGGGTGGAGTTACTGGTTGCGTCACAAGGGCTACTCTCAAAACAACCTGATCCATAGTTGTAGGGGTACTGGAAAAGTGTCATAAGAGTCCTCCCAGTAGAGCTGGAAGAGGTGGCTGTGGAAAGAGATATCTGTGCCTTCCTGACTCTGAAACAAGAGGAAGATGGTAGATGGATGGATAGATGGATGGATGGATGGATGGATGGATGGATGGATAGATGGATAGATGGATGGATGGATGGGTAACTTATTCTCTTGTCAGTACTGTATGTATTTCTTTAGAACAAGAAACCCTTAATGGGGTCCATAAGACAACATACAGCAAATCCTTCAAACATCTTTTTTATTATTTCCACATCGACTTTATTCACTCTCATAAAACCATGGAAACATTTTCACTGTGGCCTTGGTACTCTCTTTGTTGCATGTTCTGTTTGTTCAGTCGTAATTGAAGGTTTAGTGTATTCTTATTGATTAGAAACATTGTTAGTTGGTCTGGTAGACATAAAATAAATATTTTATTAATAAAACTGTTCAATACATATTGAATAGAGTCATGATTTTTAGAGTGATCTYCATTCAGTAGCTGCCTAGAGATTCTTCTTTCACAACTATACCATACTATACTTGTTTTGTCTTTATAGTAAGTTCAAGAGAAGARACAAAATCCATATTTTTCAAATTACCTGGAGGAGGTTGCCAAGGAGATGAGCAGAGCCTGCAGAATGCCTCTGATGTACACAATAGGGCTCTTCTTGGTAATGAAGAAGTACATGGCCGGGAGGATAAATAGGCCATGAAGCACCAAGCCCATTACCACAGTGATGGCATAAAAGCCCAACTTCTTTCCCATAGCTGAAGGGTCGTCCATCTCTAAGATCTTCCCGGCAACCAGGAACACAATACCAAAAGGAAAGTACCTGAAAGTGAAGGAGGGGGAATAATTCATCATTAAACCAAAAAGCTCATGCTGTTTTTTCTTCTTCTTCGTTTGCTAAAGCATGTATGCTTACAAGTGTRGAATTTTGCAGGCAGAAAACTTGCATAACTTGAAAAGGGCAAAGTAATCAACAGCTCATTTCATCACAGATTATATTCAGGGGACGTAGAGTTTATAGACARAAGGAAAGTGTTAGGATACCTGGGTTTTTGTTATTGTTTTTAGATTCTTTGTGTTTAATTTTATCAGTTCCTGGTATCTCATGGTTTTAAGCAGTGGTGGGCATCAGTCCGTGAAAGCGCAAATCCGCTAATTGCGMACCTAAATATTTCGTTTGCTCTTTAGCGGCCTTACTAATTTTTATAATTCATAAGCGGATTTGTGCTTTCTAAAATTAAAATGAAGTACCGCTAATAACTAATTATTTGCCAGTCATCATTATCTTGAACAGTGGAAGGTATGACTGTCAATGAATCACAACACACGTGATCTATCCAACAGCACCCCTCCCAGATAAACACACTTATTGGAAACYTACACATCCTTGCTGACTGTTGCTTTCGGTCACCATTCTCATTTCCCACAATGCTTTGTGTCTGCTTACATGGCAGGAAGGCAATGTTTAGTACTCCCTTTCCCAGAAAAAACAGTAAACGTTTGTAATCCATACTAAAAATTTCATGTATTGATTTATTTTACTTTACAATCGGAGCTCCTTTAAAAAAAGTTTAAAC